TGACCCCAAACCCCTAGCAAGCAAGCAAGCAAGTCTAACTACGAAGGTCCGGCACGACGGCGCCGACAATCGACTTGCTCGGGCCCCAGTGCACTTCTAACTCTCAGGCTCGAAGGTGCTGCTGAGCGTATTCTCGTGCGTCAAACCCCTTACTAGGGTATTTCTGCTTCACGGCTTCTTTGGGGCATCCTTGTCATGTAAAATCCTTCATCAAGTCGGCAGCCTAGACGGGAAGCCGAATGATTCACAATTCCATGAGATATAGGCAGGCAAACCCTTCAGTGACGTGATGTGACAGCCCAACTATTGGCTATCTACGAGGACGGTTCATGCAACGAGGCCTGCAATGGGATACTCACGTGCAACAATGCTTTGTTTTATTTTGATGTCTATTACGGAATGAGCATGGCCTCTGCATGCTTCTGCACTGACGCTCGAGGTCTTCAGCACATGGGTTGCACAGGAAGACGGTGGGTGTAACCACCATGGTGGTGTCGATGATGGTGATTATGATGATCATGCTGCTGATGGCAGCGACCACAATGCTGATGGTGACGCTGGCGAAGACAAGCATGATTAGCCTTGGCCGTAAGGTTATTCAGTCTTTTGCAGGCTTCCTGAACTCACACCCCGTGTAGCGCTGAACATTGGGCTCCAGGTTTCATGTCAAAGGTTGCGTGTCGTGAATCCTGGGTCCTTGTTGGATACAATTTTACATTTTTGTTAAAATAAAACCTCAATAAGAATCAAAAAGATCATTTTTAATATAGCCCCAACAGGGAACCAGAATCTGATCTCGGAAGTCAGCTGAGGTGCTCCTGGTGCGCTTCTGGCACCCGGACATTTGCCCTCGGCATCGAGAAGCGCTGCTGGCAGCGAAAGCAAAGCTGCGGAAGCTCAAGGACGAATCCGTGGGACTTCTGTGTTTGACTCGCATGATTGCAACGATCGCTACGGTTTTCTTGCCGTTGTCTGCTTTGTAGCCGATCCGGCAGTTCGCAAGCACCCAATTAGGAATTTCAACGGATAAGGCATCGCACAAGTTATTCCCGCTTCGAGTGCATGAGTGAAATAGTTTTTCTGGCTGTTCGGGGGTCTTTGTCGCTGAGCATAGAGAGATTTCGGAAGGCAGCGGGGTCAGCCAGAAGGGCATCGCTGGTCGGAGTTCCGATGGTGTTGATTTCCGTATGTGCCAAGTAACACTGTGCCGACACATGTTCAGACAGAATGTACGCACTTTGCAGTTCTAACGAGTTCCGTCAGCACTTCTCTTGTGGTCACCCGTCAGCGGCACATGCTCCAACAACCCGCAAACCCACAGAATCTCCTGGGAGATGGCAGGACTGGACGCTGCGCTGATGTGAAAATCATCTGAAAAAGGAGCTGGCACGGCTCTGGCTTGTCGACTTGAAGGTTCTTGGTTCGGGCGATTGTTCGACAGCCCACCAGTCGTGCAACTAACAAAGACCCAAAAGGGCGAGAGTGGTGGTGGTGAAAGCCAACTAGTAACTAGTAAGTTTGCTGCCGGTGCCGCTGATTCACCCTGATTTCAAGCTGCACCTTCACTGGAAGTCCATCGGCTTCCCCTTGCACATGGACAGGGTTTAGGGTTTTGGATGGCTGCCACGCGTATGTGGACACTGCTGGACGAGAGACGAACCTTTCGAGGCCGTCTGTACTAACGGCTATTAACAGATGTCTGTCACATGCCATGTGCCACCAAACCTTATCACCGCCTAGTAATTAACTTGGTTCACATCAAGGCCAGATGATTGGCAGCTGATTCCAGACAGCTTTGTGCCCATCCCGAACTTTCCGGAGGTGCAGGCAGGTAATCGGAAGGAATGCACGAAGCGACATCGTGTTGTGTCGGTGTTGACTTTGTGCGTCATCGCGTGTTTGCGGCTTTTGTTTGACCGTCTGATTTTCCTCGTCACGTCCAGCCAGAAGTCGCGAAGCTTGGAGCAGGATCTCGGAGTACTCCACTGTTGGCATGAAGCTCCGCCGTTTGTGCAGCCCGTCTTTGTCCGCAAGCCGGTGTGACCTGGCTGAAAGAAAGTGCCAACACAAGACAAAGTTATGACGATGATGACGAAGGAGAAGATGATGATGCTTACCACCGAGACCATCATTTCCATCACAACCGAAGTTATCATCAGCATCGCGATCACAATCACCAACGGACCGACTGTGAATCACCGACAGTGCAACCACCAGCACCACCACTCCCGCCGCAACCGCCCTTTTATCTGTCTATCTAATGTATCTATCTATCTGTCTATCCTTCTATCTATCTATTCATCTCGATCATCTGTCTATCTATGTATCTAGGTACCTATCTATCTATCTATCTATCTATCTATCTATCTATCTATATATCTATCTATATATCTATCTAGCTAGCTACTAGCAGCTAGCTAACTATCTATCCTTTTATGTCCGATCTATGTCTACATGATGGTTTCTTTCGTACTATGCCTGTATCTACATTTCTATATTCCATATTCCATATCAGATATTCTGTGTTCTATAGCCTACAGCCTGTATTTTATAGTCTGTAGTCCCTGTCCCATATCCTATATCGTTTCTCCTTTGTGCTATGCCCTATGTTCTACATTCAGCATTTACATTGCCATCTATGTCGACGTCACTGTCCACATCTGCATCTGTCGCTGTATCTACTTGTGTAGCTATGTCCGTGTCTATGTCTATGTTTTCCGTCTCTGTCTATGTCTGTGTCGATGTTGGTTTCCATCGGCGTCTGCATCCGAATCTGCATTTGCATTTGCATCTGTGTATATGTATATATAGTTATAGGGTATATGTACATGTATGTAGATCTATATATATATGTGTGTGTGTGCATGCATGTATGATGTGTATGTCTATATATATATACACATGTTTGTACACATACTTGTGCGCGTGTGCGACATCGGCTTGGTGGCGGCTCGTCTGGGAAGGGCTGCCGAACAAGCGCCCTCCAAGCATTGTGGTGTTGTGTCACGGGAGATCTCGTCATTGTTGGAAACTCATCAAATCGTGGCACTGCTCTGCGACAGACCAGACTTGCAACAAAAGGCACACATGCTCGATGTTCCCACCCTGCACGACACTTACTCTCCTTCATTTCTCCTGTTGCTGCACGCACTGACAGGTATGTGTTGCGCCTGTTGAACGACCTGCTGGGCACCATCCCATGCCGTCGGCGCCCTAGATGAAAACTTCCAGCCGTTAACAAAACAGTCCCTTCACCCTGGGAAGAAAACCCGACTTGGGAGTTTCAGAAGATATAGGCCTTGAATGCGAGCCAAAATCTAAAGTAGGATCCTTAGTATTCGTGTTTCGAACGTAGGACACCTGATTCTACGAAACCGCCCTTCCAGACCAACTTCCACGGCAGGTTTCAATCCGGCCCAGATGTGCGAGAATATCGTCAGCTTTCGTTTTCGCGCGACCACCCCGGTGCGCGACCCAGGGGAGCGCGGAATCCGGGAGCCTTTTGTGTTCCTGGACATCACCAAAGCAGGTTCCTCGAAGGACAGTTTAATGAAGCAACCAACGTACTGTGAGTGGCGAGCTGCTGTAGGCTCTTCAACCTGCATCGGAATCTTAAGATGTCAGGCTCGATGACCTTGACTTTCTACTGTAGGTTAGCCTTTGCAGACAGCGACTAGCCTTACGCTGACAGTTTCGCTGACAAAGCCGACCGTACAGTTCAGGGTGCTCGTGCGCTTAGCAGCTTCCTTTTTGCTCGAGCCAACACCTCTCGCCTTTGAAAGCGGGAGAGGTCTCAAAGTGGGCCTAAGCTGAACTCCAACCGACAAATTGCGACACCACGAGAAAAAAAACTCAACTGGACACGGACACAAAGATTCCAAGCATCGTGTGTTGCATGGTTCAGGTTCGTTGCTTGATCGAAGCCTAATGGAGCCAATCACGCCGTTGCAGCCCCAACCCAGCCCCCTAACACACTAACCCTACACCTGAATCCAAACATAAACGACGTAAGGCCTTTAAAAACATAGCAGGTCTGCAGCCCTCGCGGACACGACGATCGCTACTGATTTAAGGCTCCAAGGGTCAGTGTCTATAAACGGGTGGCTTCAAGCAAGCCCAGCATCTGAAAACCCGGCTCTCGCCCTTCATGGCATGAATCGCCGTAGCCGACCGCCCAGCCATCTCGATGGCACTTTCGGTGCCACCGAGTACGCAGCGCTCCATTGCAGTCGTAGATCCTGGAGGCGAGTCATAGGCTCATTATATTGATAGTAGAATATACCGAGTCTAGGGTTTAGGGTTGTAGTCTACCAGCATACCGCAATAATACATAGTAGTTACTACCTCATCGTTGTTATCAAGGCCCTGTATTGGAGCACGAGGCTCCAAGGCCCAAGGTCTAGCCTTTCTTGACATCGACCGTGGTGCGCACAGGAGTAGCAAGCATATTTTTGGGGCGCCCCATGCCTAAAACCCGAAGCCATCCTGATACGGATGTGTTCAAGCGTTGCTTCCCCACTTGTCTCACTGGTCCATGATAAACAGTACATATGGGTGTCTATGCCTGGTCATTTTCAACGAACCTGAAAAGCGCAGCTCGAAATCCAGAGACATTGCTGCTCGGTGTACACATGTGACGAACATTGCTACAAGGTGTAGGTACTTATATATACATACTGCGAAGAACCGTTCAGCCCCTCTCGAGGCACTCTCAGATTTGACGTTCTTGCCGCTTTGACTTCGTGCCAAAAAGACAGCTGTGGGTTCTCCTGTAGTTTATCTCTGCCTGCTGTAAGCATGTCTTACGTCCTTATTGGTTGCGTGAGTATCGTTCCGCATTCGTGTTTTCCTTCCGTGGTACTGGTCCACTACGGTAATTATTATCCCGTATTCCCCGTCTTACGTGCATAGTCAATATTACATACATACATACACAATGTACATACGTGCACTTGTACATCCGCACACACACACACACCTACATGCGCACATGCGTTAACACATACGAACATGTTTCCGCATATTTACAGCCACGAACAAGCACAGGCCTTCATATAAGTCGAGCCAGTTTTCGTTTCTGTGCATGTGTCCACGTTGAAACACAGGCCTGAGCCGCACTCCTGCAAATGGATCCAGCTCCAGCCGGAGCATCAATGGAGACAGCGAGAAGGCCACATGTTGTCGCCAAGTTTTGGGGAATGCGTTGTGCGGCCGCGCTGAATATAATAATAACCTTCATCCAGAGTTTGCCGTCATTATCTCAATCCACACCGCTTGAGAAATTGCCTGGCATGGTCCAGCGCACGGCTCCCTGCCGGGACGATGGATGCACATGTTGCATTTGATGAGTGCCTCGCAGGCAAGGAATGAGCGAACTGACCTCCCGCCAAACTAGACTGAGTTATAGTAATACTCCTCGTCCCAACCCGATGAGTGGGATTGCAGGGCATGGTCTCTTCTGAAGGTCGCTCGCCACCCTGTCTGGCCTTCGTTTCTATATCATTACAGACATGCAACCTGAGTGATGCTGCCAGCAATTGAAGTTGCTGGCTCAGTCAGGCCCAGCTGCTGCCGGTCGCTCCACCCCCCAATCCAGAAGATCCTCTGGTAGCTCGGCGAACAGGGATGTTTGCGTCGCGCAGTATCCATCATCCCAGCTTTCATGGCGGCTGAGAAAGATTTGGTTTGCGATGTTTTCTTGAACGGACTTGCTCCGCCTGGCAGGTTTGACGGAATCAGCAGCTGTCGACAAATAGCAATGTACTATCACTTGACTGTGACTCAACCTTGAGTTGGTTGTACGTGATGTAAGGTTTAGCTACGGTTTGCGTTTTCCAACGGCCCCAAGCCAAGCATTGCTACCTCGTTTGTTTGTGGCCGATTGCTGGCTCTGGGGTTATTCTTGTGCCTTCATGTTGCGAACACTCATTATGCTAATGTTGCTTCATGGCTTCACTCTCAGCAGGGATCGTGTTCCACCGCCTCAGAGGAATGTGTGTGCAGCAGCTCCCGGCATGAAATGGACGCCCTATCATGCTGTACCCCAACCCTGTAGCTCTCGATTTTGGCCTATATAGCCCGCATGTGGTAGTGAAAAAGAACCCAAGCACCCCCATCGTCGTAAGGACAAGGGCTGCGAGCCCCTGACAGTGCAACGCAAATGCACCGATGTTGCAGCATGGCACAGTTGCAAAGTTTATGGAGTGAGTAAAGCTTACTGTAGTAGGGTTAGGTAACATTGTTGATGCCTTTCAGTTTGGATCACTCAACTGCTCGTGTTTTGGTTGCACCGTAACCTGTACTGTAATCGATGCAGGAGTGGTATGAGGGATCGGGCACACCGACCTCTCACAGCTTCAACCACCTGACTATCCTCGGTGTTCGGCTAGTTTGATCATGTTGCAATTGCTTCGACCGTTGGGGTTGCTACGTCCGTTAGGTATACTGGTAGGATCATCTTAGTCGCACAGCGATTGCTTTCAAGACTTCTCCTTGTTCCTATTGCTACGTGCTCAATTCGCTCCCACAAGTCCTTTTTAAAGTTTTACAGCCGGGGTAGGATTCTGAGTTTATAAACATGAGTACTGGCATCCGTGCGCATATGCATGTGCGGTATGCAGCAGATGTGCAGGGATGCAGGCATTTGTTCGTGCTCTACTTATCTTCCTTCGTTCGCTTGCGCCAAATCTTGCACAGCCAAACTGCGGACGATTGCGCGTGGAGTTTCCCTATAGCCTGCCATGTCCCAAGCTGCTGTGATGATAGACATTGCTGCCGTTAAGTAGGGCTTCTGTTATTGCAGCTAACTGTTATCGTTCTTGTTGCCATGGGTATCAGTATCGCCGTTTCAAAATTTCAGCCCCAAACTCCAAGCTGAAGAGAACTCCGTACTCCTATGATTATTCGATATTATTCATACTAGTACTACACTACTACTATACCCTTATTTACCATTATTGTTATTCTTATGATTCGCAGAGCTGAGGTGTGGATTTTTCCGTTTCTCGTCCTGCTGGGAGTTTCTGCGTATGCCACCTACGAGGCGGCTCAGGCCAGAGGCTGCTCGCTGCTTTGCGAAAAGGGCCGAAACGTAAGGCAGGCCTAAAGGGGGCATAGAGAGGACGTTATCTATATATATGTATATATGTATATATGTATATATATATATAGAGGGGCCTAAGTAGCTACTAATGCTTTTCCTTGGGGTTCCTTGCTGTAAGAACAGTATAGCACACTCTAATGTTCTGTTCTAATCATTAAGCCCCTATGTTACCAGCATGGCAGCTCATTCACGATGACAAGAAGTCTTAGCAGCCGCCTGATGTGTATAGAAAGCAAGCACTTACAACTGCAACTCAGTATCAGCACATCTACCGGGCACACCACAGCAAACCCAGTTCTCCGGCACCTTGTGCTTCCATTTCTCATTCCGAGGGCCCTTGCAAGCCAGAGCCCTTCCTCGCCAGCCAGATTCCTGTTTCTACGCATGTACGCACCTGTGAAATCGGCGCATGAGACAAGCAGATGAGAACCCCACAGGAACAAATCTAAGCCCTGGGAATGCTGTCAGGTGGGCAACTTTGGAACGATTTTCAGAGTGCCAGACTTCCAATCGGAAATGTGCGGTGAAGGGGCAAGGAAGGCTGGGAGGGCTCGTGTCGCCACCTCAACCGCATAGTTTTTTTCAGGTATTTAAGGTTTAAGAGGTGGGCCAAAAGGTTCAATTTCTGCACCTTCGTTGCGAGGATTCCGGAGTTCTGTTTCACCTCTCAATGTAGAAGTGCTTTAAAGGACTTGAGATGACTTTGCGGATGCCTGTATATGATTTCATGTTTGTCCGGATCTACGCCTATGATTCTGATTCGCCGCTTACTGTCCACGAAAGCTAGGGGAGAATGTTGAGGCTATGATGTCGCAGCTAGGATCTCACGAAGGCTTGGGATTTGTTATATAAGGTTCGCCATGAGGCTACCAGCCCATGCTGAACAACAAGAGCAACAACGACGATAATATTCATAGTAACGTTATTCATTGTGGTAAAACTAGCCGTGATCACAACTATAAGCGCCATGATCATGAGCATAATCTTTTGAACACTGTCGCATGGGGACGATTGCTTCCCAGACTTTTGCAGGCCAAGACCTTCCTGTACTTCTGCATGAAGCAGGATTCCCAATGGGTCTTCGACGAAGCGAACAAGAGCCACGCAGCCTGGATTAGGTTCCCTTGAAGGTGCCCTACGATGCAACAGGAGCGAGTATTTTAGTATGGTATCTGGGCAACCGAGCCCTGGTCCTAGATGATGGGGAAGAGAGTTTGATGGGGAAGGTGGTACGTTAAGGTCTATAGAGTCTAGAATCAGAAGACCTCCAGGGAGCTTTCTCTGAAGAGGGGCATGTAAGGTCTGGAGATACGATATCCAATCTGCGTGGAGCGCTGCCCGACTTCCTTCAATACGTCCACCCGCTGCTATTTGGGGGTGGGGAAGGACCGCTTCGGAGATGCAACCGCAGGGCGGCACCATCCTTTCGATGACTGCAAACCGAACCGGACTGCACAGCTGTACTCAGGGCCACACTGCATCGTCAAGACATCCTGCGCTGCGTCTCCCTGCGTCAAAGTCGCACAGGACGATGATGCGAATTCCTGGGACTGGGTGCAAGACTACCCCACGCAGCCCACGGCTTTCTTCTGCAGGCAGCGGCTATGCTCTTGTCAACGATCTGCCTTCGAAACACTTCTTGCATCGGAGGCCGCACAGAGCCTTCAGCAAAGGTCTCAGCGATGACTTCTGGACGCACCATGGACTGCATGCCGCAGGTTTAGAATGTTTATCGTTGGGCTTCCTGCTAATTTAATTTCACTGATGGCGGGTGTTCGGCATCTAGCAATTGTGCCACTCCAACATCACTGTTCGCTTGGGGTTCGCTTCGGGCATTTCATCCAGAACCCTAGACGCCCTAAACGAACTTGCTCGAAGACATGCGAGGGCCCGCCGAGTCCTCGTAACTGACCTAATGCTCCTGGAGGTTTAAACAAGTCATGTGAAGCATCACTCCCCAACGTGCCCGATGCCAAAAGCATGCTCGTTGAACCGTAAAGAGAAGCAGATTCCCCGCGCAGGGTCGCATAAAGCCAGGAGAGAGTGTAATTACATACCTCGGGGAATGTGATGCAACTATAAGCCTTTCAAGTGAGTGCACGGCCCCGCACGAAGAACCGGGAACCTGGTCCGAGCCACACAGACAGCCAGCAGATAGGCGTGCCTCCACGCGAGGGCTCGCCCCCAGGCCCTATGAGCCTATGAAAGAAAGAAAGTACATACCTCGGTCATGTACATGGAATCAACCATATGTTACCGACACCAGATGCAGTAGAAGCCTGGAGGACACACCCCTGATCCATATCTATTTACACTCCCTACGAGTCCAAGGCCCTTAAACAGGGGTATAAGCTCTTCGGCTCTGGGGACCACAGTCCCCAACGTCCCGGGAAACAGATCAAACAGAGCGGAGAGAAAGAGAGACAGCGGGAACTTCTGCCATTTTGGCTCAAAGTGCCTGCCACGCTTCGTCGACCACAGTGGATCGCTGGGGGGACCTGGCCAACGAACCAGACACACAAGGCGCTGCGACTGCAATGCTAGCCTGCTGGAACGAGGCGGGGGAGGTGATGGCAGTGACGCCACCCTTGCCTTTTTCGCCTGACGACATGAGTGACTCGGAAACTTAAACCCCAGCTGAGACTGGGGGGGTGACACCCTTGGAAAAACAGCGCCTACTACGCCGGAATGGCCTGAAGCGGTGGATGACGCCCTTCCTCTAGCTCAAACAGGGGACGCGTTTTTGGGGGGAGATGGAAACCAGCTTGGGAAGTCTGGAGTAAGTTGAAGCGGCGAGCACAAAGACAGCAGAGGCGGAGCACCCAAGGACAGCGGCGCCGAAGAGCGCGCGTGCGAGAAGGCATGGTAGGACATCAGGTCATTCCAGGTCGACGACCTTTCTGGTTCGCTCTTGGGTCGGGGGAGCCTGCAGCCCGTGCCGTCCTTTGATCTTTTCAAGGGTAGCTTCGGCTACCCCATGACCCGAACTGGTTTCCAACTTCGAACCCTCTGGGGGACATGTCAAGACTTGTAATGTGATTTGTAATTAACCTGTCTGAAAAAGCAGGCAGAGAGCCTTTACGGCGACCGAGCCGGCTTCGCTGTACACTGCCGAATGCAACCAATGACTTTCCGTGCAGGCGGAGCCAAAATCGACCCAAGTTTCGCCCAACTTGAGCAAGCCTTAATCACGGGGGATCGTCAGTCCTTTATTACATTAAAACGAAGTCTCGCTTCAGGCTGATGTTCACCCCGTGCTTTTCACAGTTCCTCCAAAGCCCCATAACAGATGGGGGCCTAATGGCCGGGGGATCTTAACAGTCCCGGCCCGGACTCAGGCGTAGCACGTTGCACAGGGGGAAGGGGCCCCCGACCCCAAACGCGCAGCAAGCAAGCAAGAGAGAGAGAGAATGCTGATCAACAATAAGGAGCGAAGAACATGAGAGAAAGACAAAAGCTGGCCCAGGGCAGTGAAGAAGGGGCCGAAGATTGTTTACTTGATTCTCCGCTTTTACAACGGTTGGCCTGAGGCGCGGCCGATAGTGCTTCCTGCCATCAAACACTGCGCTGACGAGATGATGACGAGGAGGATGTCAGGGTGGTGCTGATGTTGGTGCTGATACGGGTGTGATGCAGTGGTGTCGGTCGTGATAGTCGTGATCTTTAGTGGTCGCAATGATGATTTTGATGCAAGGATAAGGTGAGTCCAACAGCATGATCATCATTTAGAAGATTAGACATGAATATGCTAGCTATCCCGGCGATGAATTCGATGCCGATATTGACAAGGTTGGTGCAGTTATCAGTGATGATGATTTCGGTGTTGAAACCTTCGGCGACAGTGATGGTGATGATGTTTGATGTTCGATGGCGAAGTTTCAGACGACGATCGCAATGATGGTGTTTTGCCGATGAATGGTGCCGGTGCAGGTGCATGTGCAGATGCAGGTGCAGGTGCAGCTGCAGCTGCAGCTGCAACTGCTGCTGCTGCGTCTGCCGAGGATGATGATGATGATGATGATTCTGGCGGTAACAAGCAAGAATGGCATGATGTCGAAGAACATCTTCAGATTGTAGCAATCCACTAGCATAAGGCCGTTGGTCCTGTTTTCGTAATCATTGCATTAGTATCATGGTTCGTGCTGCGGGAATAATATTCATATTCATCTTCACCATCAGCAGCAGTGTACAGCATGAAATGTTGCTGCAGTGAGAACTGCTGCAGCAGCAACGATTAGATAGCATGCAGCTTGGTTGCTTGCGCCATGTTGGATGTAGATATTATCTCAGCATTGTGATTGAAAGCTATTGTGTACTGTTGTTGTTTCTTACAGTGGCGGAGTGGTTGTGACGGTTTTGACCGTGGTCGAGATGCTGCCCTTGGTTGTTGCTGTAGTTATTGTTGTTGTTATTGTTGTCGTGGGTGGTGGTGGTGGCGGTGGTGGTTCTTGGTCTTGGTGGTGTTGGTGGTCTTGCTGTCTTGCTCTCTTGGTGTCTTGCTCTCGGTGGTGTTGGCGGTGATCTTGGTTTGGTTGCTGTTGCTGTTGTTGTTGCTCCTGAAATTTCGGCGTGGCTTTGACTTCCGACGTAGATGCGACTGATCGCTTATGTTAAGGTATCCTGGATGCTAGAGAGGCATGGTGTTGTGTGTGTGTGTATGGGTGTGTGTGTGTGTGTGTCTCTCTGTTTCTGTCTCTGTGTGTGTGTGTGTGTACGTGTGTGTGTGTGTGTGTGGGTGTGTGAGGGTGTGTGGGTGTGTGGGTGGGTGTGTGGATGTGGGTGAGTGCGTGCGTGCAGTGCGTGCGTGCGTGCGTGCGTGCATGCTGGTGTGTGTGTGTGTGTGCGTGTGTGTCCCTGTATTATGTGTGTGTGCGTGTGCGTGTGTGTGTGTGCGCGCGCGTGTGCGTGTGCGTGAGCGCGTGTACATGTGTGCATGCTGGTGGCCTGCCAGATGCTGCTGCTGTGGTCTCTTCCGTTCTCTTTCTGTCTCTCACAAGCTGTCGCCCTGTTGCAATGCAGGTGATCTCGGTCTCCATTTCGTGCTTTGGGCAGCAGTCTCCGAGTTTCTGGCAGGTAGCCAATCTTGCCATCTGTCCTTGTCGCAGGAAGCTCTAGACGGCTGTAGAATGTCTTCAACCTGCTTGCACCATGTATTCAGGGTCCTTTCGCTGACTCGATGTCCTTAGTGGCCTAAGTGTGTACGGACGCACCCCTGCGTCCTAGGTCATACTCATACGCACCGGAGTACCTCAGCATTGACTTGTTGAGGATATTCTGAGAACGGAAACCATTGCGGTGGGTTAGTAGTAGTAGTCGTCGTCGTCGTCACAGTCGTAGGCTGTGGTCGTGGTAGTGGCTGTGGTAGTGGTAGTAGTGTTGGAGCAGCAGTGTAGTGGTAGCGCAGACCAGGTCGAGGTTTAGGAGCATTAGCAGCAGCAGCAGCACCGGTGCCCCGACGGCCTTAGCATCACCCAAGGCAAAATCACGAGCAGCCAAGCCTGCCACAGCTAGCAGCACACATGTTTATCCTCGTTACAGTCAAAGCTGCACGATGCCGGCAAAGGTGCTCGTCCGTGTTTGGACTTTTATACATTATTTCCTTGTCCAAGTGCGCTCGCCAACTGATCTGGCTGCTCGGAAAGATTGGTTGAGCTTTTATTCCAAGATGTGTGCTTGTTTGGCGGCTATTCGCAAAAGACGCCGGGGGTTGCCGACTTTGGGGTTTACAGTGACTACAGACTGAAATATGTAGGCCACGTACTGGAGTGTCTCCAAGAGGATAGGAAGACCTGAAGGCTTCCTTGCGTGGGCTAGCATCTAAGAGCTGCATGAACTTGAGGTGTTTGTTGCTGTGTCTTGGGTGTCTGGTTGGCGACACCTCCGACAGCAAATGCATGGGCCCGACAATGTGTTCTGATGCACACCACGAGTAACAAAGGGTCTTCCGCTTGTCGTTCGCAAGATCTTTCAAAAAGGGACTCAGAGGCACCACCTGCCCGCGACATGTTGAGTTAAGCAAGGGGCCCAATTGCAAGTGCTTCGGTTTATACTATTATGGCAGGATGGTGTAAGGCTCTTGAGCGAACGCAATAGAATTTCAAGAGAGGTTCCCCTACATACTGCATCCCTCTCGAAGGCTTGCATTGAGTACCACGGCGCTCTGCTCCGCGGTCGTGAGTGCCTGGTATGGCTACTGCTGCCCGCCCTGTTTTACATGAACTGCCTGTACTGGGCAGCTGTATCATTGTGTGAAGCATCAAACATGACAGCAGCAAGATGCCCAGGGCAGAACGAACCTACCTGGAAAGCCAAGTTGCCCCTAAATATATACAACTTTAAAGGAATAAGGGGCGACAGTTACCCCAAATTATGGTAAACTGGCTTTCTAGGTGGTAATAAGAGGAATCCGAAGGCCTGAACCGAAGTGGCGAGCGCAAGGTCTAGAAGTAGTTGTGCTGGGATGCAAACGGCTTTGCTGGTGCTTTGTCAACAACCCTTCGCAGGGAATCCTTGTACTATACCTTATGATGCAGACATGTTCCCGCATGTGTATAGATGGTCACATACATGTATTTTGCAAAAGCATATGCATATATATATATATGTATATATATATATCTATCTATCTATCTATCTATCTATCTATCTATCTATCTTACGCGTACATGTAGAAAGCAGGGGCAGTTTACAGGCTGAAGCTCCCACTCCTACGTACTCGAGTGACAGAGCAGCCAAGGCTTCAAGACTGGCATGTGCAAGAAATACACAGGCACGGATGGCACGAGAAGCTCTGAGAATGCGCGTGTTCGGCTCCGTAAAAGACTTGGGTGTTCGGGCTTCCTTTGAGGTGTCAAGCTAGCCATGTTTGGTAGGAAAGCCGCTCGCTGCTCGCAAGTGGCCGCTTGAAAGGCCCTGCATGTCGGAGCCTTCGGAAGTCGTTTCTAAGCTAGTTTTTGTCCTGGCAGTTTCCTGATGCTGACGCCTGGCCGGCTGGCGGCTGACTCCGAAACGGTCCATTTCCTCAAGAAGTCTCCCACACGGAACGGGAAGAACCTCCTCGAAAACGAAGCCACCGCATTGTTCGCCTCATTCTTGTCACTGGCATGGCCGAGGTCGAGGTATACAAAGGGATTCTTTGCAGAACAGAAGGAAACCTGGAATGGACTCGAAGGAGTGAAGGAAGACTATACTCCGGATTTTTCTACCATCGGAAGACTAGAAAAGGTATCAGCGCAATTCGGCAACAGTGTCGTTAAGTTTGCAGATAGCACGTGCCTGAACATACGACACGTTCAGTATTTGGGACATCAAATCACACCAGCGTCTGGTTCAGATTGAACTCGTTCTATCTCGTTCTTGAACCATTGCACTAGAAGTTGCACATCTATGACGCTACTACCACGAACTCATATGGCGCTACTCATGCAGAAACGCAGAACGTCTTTGAGCCTCCTGGCTTACTGCACAAGCGATTCTACTTATTGCGCATGTGCCAATGGAGCGAGCACGCAAAAACATCGTCGAGACAGCTAGTCGCGGCTAGTCAAAGCTAGTCAGTTACTGCCGAGCTAGGAGGACGCACACCCGGAATCACCCGGACACAAGAAAATAAGACTAATTAGTCTCCGAACCCCTTGATTCTGTTGATGGAAATTGATCCGTTGCGTGAAGTATCATATGAGCTGGATCTTGCACAGACTTCCCACATGGAAAACAGCACGGGGACCCGGGCAGGACTGGTAGTTCGAATGTGTCTTGAGTCCTCCGCCCAGTCCGTGTGCCAGGACAGTCAGGCACTACGATTGCATCGTGTCAAGCCGTACTCTTGCAGCCACCCCACCCCCTCCTGTCAACAGAGACACGAGGTTTTGACAAACAAATTTAAAACACCGCCATCAGCGTTAGTGGTATTAATATCCATGGCTCTGGTGATGCTTGATCCAGCGATGGTCTTTCCGTGTCCCTACAAAGCTCTTGCCGCGTCGAGCAACAGCCAGCAGAGCGATGTGTGGAGTTTCCGAAAATTAGGGTACCTTAGTTTGGGGGTCCTTACAATAAGGATCCTACTATTTGGGGTACTATATTAGGGTCCCCTATTTTCGGAAACCCCCATGTAATCGCAACGGGGGTTAAGGTGCTCCAAAAGGCACAGCGAACAGGAACAAGGAAATACCAGTATCGTCATGACACCAATATCGATAATGCAATAATGAGAGACTACTGGTCAACATACGACTTTGTTGCTGGCTCAGCGCTCCTTGAAATCCTTCCCCACTTTCCAGACTTCACCCACACACCTGTTTAAGTCCACACACAAAGCTTTCCCTGGAGAGCGTTCTAGAGGCCCTTGTATCGACTGCATAAAAAATGTGCCGTGAACTTCCAACGGATTAAACAGGAAGCAAGGCCAGTCCCGTCCAAGCCGTGAATATAACGCACCATGATACCCTGAATCAGCAAAGTTTTCCATCCTATGCCTGGAGAGGAAACGGCGCGGAAGATCCCATCGACCTTGCCCGATCTGTGCCTCGGGCTTGGGGTGCTTATGGCATCTCCTGAAGAGATGGATCTCAAAGTCAATCTGGGCTACCCTGCACATTTGCCCACAGAGGAATTGGCCCAGAGGCTGTGCCTACCTATATCATGGATGCTACACCCTCCTTGGCGTAGGGATCTTCGAAGCCATGCAGCTCTGCCATCAGCTCACGCGTTCAATTCTCGGGCAAGCTTCGTGAGTGCGTGATATCTCACCTTGCAGCTCGACACACCCTGGATTCGACTACCCCATTGAACAGCGATCTGCACGTGGAAGTTCCTGTCGCACAACGCTTCCTCCACCCTGAAGCCCTCAACCCGGAAACCCTGATCCCGAAGCCGCATAGCATCGCTTTTTCACGTCAAGCTAGCCGGACTCGAGGTCGGGACCCCCTAAACAATATCCCCCGAAACCCTGAACTGTGCTCTGCGAAAAGGGCCCATGGCACTTGAAAAGCTCAAGGTTGCTTTTGGCATAGTGGCCATTCTGACCTTGCAGACTATCTGTGCCTTGGCCTGGCGGACTACGCGCGACCTGTAGTTGGGCTAAGGGCTGCGGAAGCTACATAGGTCTAGACCTCAGCCTCATAGACGCTAGGCTTCGGGATACACTTCGAACAACAAGCAGCTGTGAGCAAAAGGTCGAAAGAATGCCGTTTCTGGGGCTCGATAACTCTGCATAGAAGCTTCTCGCAACTGTAGATGCCTGGCGCTCTGCTTCGGCGTTGACTCATCATCTCCCGGTCCCTTGTCCTCATCCTCAACATCATGATCATCATCACCGCTGCCAACATCATCAACCTCGAGAACACCAACATTGTCGCAAAATCTGCGTTTATCATTAGTTGTGTTCCTCTTTCGTTTTGCTCCACTCCTGCTTGCTCGCGCCATGAAAGGTGAGAGTCATCAGTGTCAGCCAGAGTATCATCGAGCTTTTGGTTTTGTAGTCCGGATCACGCCCGGACTCCGGGCAACTCGGGGCTTCCGAACGTGCCCTCCGGAGCTCTCAATACGTCGAGGCCAGAGGTGTTGCTGATCCTCGGCCGAACAAGGATCAAGACCTTCAACATCTTAGCCTGATGCATGGTGCCAGTGTCACAAAGGCTGAAACTACTGCCTGAGCCTACACTGAACGATAGCGCCCTTTATGCTTTATGGTTTGCGACTGGGCGATGAGAAGGCGTTTGACAGGATACTGCATGTAGGCTGTCTATGTCGCCAAACACTCTTCTGAACTGATGCTTTGTTCTTGTCTTCTACCGTCTGCATATGTGTTATGTGTATGTGATGGCATGCAGCCTCATTAGTCCAGTTTTGTGTGGCTAACACTTGACTGACATATGGGTTTTGTTTTGCAATCGTGCAATGTCAGGTAGCCTCGGACGAAAGCTGGATACGGTGGGGCGAATCCTCGAGATGTCATGCAGGCCAGGAAGCACTCTCGCTTGCTTCCGGGGATGCTTTTGGAGGTCGTCGGTGTAAACCCTTGTCATGTGGACACACAAACTGACTTGGGCTACACTTGCACCGTCAAATTACAGGGGAAAGACATGCCACATGTCTTGCAAAAACCTTGCTGATGGGAAGAGGGTGGCACTTTCTGGAAGTGGGCTTGGGCGCTGCTACTTTGGGAAAGCGATTCAACGCGGCCGCACGGGCACTAATTGTGACAGTTTTGCGGCTTGTGGCCACCGTATTCCTGACCGTACACGTGCATGTCATGCTGTGGAAGAAGCGGCAAGAAGTTTGGACAGGGCTCCTGAGCACAGCCTACCCCGGGCCGATGTATCGTGTCAACTGTTGCAAACATAGCCGCGCAGCTGCCAATCCTGTCCGACACAAACGCTTCGATCTTCGACTTCTTTGCGTATACATGGAGTGAAATCTTGACTAGGTACGGGTCCTGGTCGAGTAGGCACCTCTTCACATGTACGGTGCATGCAGCGAACGGCAACACGGACCAGGGAGAAGAACCTGGCACCTTCAAAAACTATCTGATGAAACGGGAGATGCCGCAGCTCCAAGCCGTAATGATTGCCTAAACCTAAGTCTCACCGAGTGCTAGGCTAAAAGAAGCCCATTTCGAGTTGCGGATACTGGAGCAGCTTTTTGCTTGATGCAGCCTGTCCCTGCAGTTGCATCATGTCCAGCCCCATGCTGACCATATTGCCGTGGCCCAAGTTTTTGGAAACGGTCAAATGATACGGTGGTCTCGATAGTGCTTACATAGGATAGCAACAATAACCTTCATAATTGCAAACAGTACTGTAGTTATCAGAAAAGTATCATATAGTTATTTACATTCCATGCACTCATGATAGCAGTAGTTGCTCGTAGCAAGAATCCGGTGGAACATCCGCTCCAGCCCTGCTCCCCGGCTTGGATACTGAGGCCGCTGGTGATGCTTTGCCTTCGAATCATCTCGACGGCCTGGGTGGTCTACGTCGTGCTGGGCCTTTACAGTGCGGAGGTTCACGATCGCTTGGATGATGTTGCTCAGCCGCGTCTTGGCGAGAATGGGTGGCATTCAGGGGATGGGCTGTCTTGACTGTTCAGAATTCGCCGGAGCACTTGCCTCGCCTCCTTCCCATCTTCGTCTATTTTCTCGCCTGCTCAGTTGGTTAATGAGAGAATTAAATCCCCAATTCAATATCGCATTATCTATATCACAGCTGCGGTTGCTGCTGCTTTGAATCGGGGCAGCTTCTGACGTTCATGAAGCACGATGGGAAGCACGTGGCAATTGGGGGCGAGGGCCGGATGTTTTGGATCTACATGGTTTGGGTCTCCAAGTAGTTGCAACTGCCCAAACTGCAAACGGCTTCATGCAAGTCCCGCTTTGGGCACATGGACGCCCTAAGTCATGGAAAGTTCCAGGTCGCACTTCGGATCACCCATGTACTAGCAGCTGAGCAGTGAGAAGTTGATAGTACACATCATCTGCTGAGACATATCGCGTTTGGTTTCTGAATCCCTTTGACCTGCAGACCCCGCGGCAGCGAAACGACAGTCTGAACCATGCCTCACTTCATCATTGCAGGTGGGTGAGTGGCTGGAACCGGCTGCCTGCGGTGAGCAAGTCGATTGAGTTCCAAGTTCCCCAGACCGACGAAAGCTTTGATGAATGATTTGTTATAGGTGGTTGTGGTGGCAGTGGTGGTCTGTGACGGTGCTGCGTTTGTCGACAATGTGCAGTGGACAGACTGAATCATCGTTGAACAGGGCGTGGGATTTATGGTAGTGCTCATGGCTGCTTGATGGCAGCTTCGGAAATAGAGCGTGGCAGTGAGTTCTGCAGGTGTATCCTAGAGCAAACAAACATTCCAAGAGTAAGACTTGCTCTTGGAAAAAGTGTTCACTTAGTGAGCACTTCTACCAGTATTGGAGAAAAGATCCTTCACCGGTTTGGCAATTCTTCCTGTTCAATGCACAGGCAGAGAGCAAGAGAGAGAGAGAGAGAGAGAGAGAGAGAGAGAGAGGCGCGCGGGCATGGGGGGCTTCCCTTCATGCCCATAGCCCTTGGGAAAGAAAGAGACAGAGAGAGTTGCCACGGGCAGGGGGGGGCAACCCCCCTGCCTCTAGCCCTGCCGAAAGAATGAGAGTTGCCACGAGGTTTACGTGGTTGCCGTTGCCTGCTTCTACTGCCTGTTCAGCTCGTTCATCACATGCGTCTCCTGGTTCGTCATGATCTTTCTTGCCCAAGCCTCCTGGATGCAAGGTGGTGTTTCCCAAAAGCAAGACCACTAGAAGAATGTACTGAAAGCCATGTAGTTGTGTGACATTGTGTCGAGAACCTTTGAGGGTTTCTTTAAACTGTAGTCATTTTGGGGGGCATTAGTTAAAACAGGCGTTTGAGTCTGTGCCCTGAAGCAGCCAACACCTTTCTCCGAGGTCGAGCTTGCTGCGCTGATTAGCAGCACGAGCATCAACCATGACAGTGATGAGAACCACTCTCCAGGACTCTAGGTAGTAGTAAATCCTATCGCGAAGCGCCCAAGCAACTTCTTCAGACTCCTCGTTTTGCTTTTCTGCCATCGGTATGACATGTAATCATGTAACCCTAGGCAAGCAAACCGGGAGAGTCTCGGAACCGGTTTGATGATACATCAGAGGGGCTGGGCTTCTCCTGGTCTTAAAGCCATGTGAGCCGCGTGACTGTCGTAGCTACACGGTACCACGTACACTCAGCTCCAGCGGTAACAGCCACCAGGTTTGGTATTTCGCCGGTCCCAAATTTTCCACTCGGCGGTGTCCTGTGCCAAGAGCTTTATGGATCTGCCTGCGCGCGGGGCCTAGTCGTCTTTCGACGCTCTTTGCGCATTGAGTTCCCAGGCCGAGAAGATCAGTGCCATTCTTTATTCCTCGCTGCTGATCGACAGCTGTTGCGTAACCCCTCGGCCAGGTTACCATTTTGGCACCATGGTTCTTTCAGGAGCCTTGGCTTTCATGTGCCGGGAGGGTACAACCGGTTGCATTGAGATTCTCTGAGTGCAGCTCCATGCAAGAGAAGCGTGTCCCCATCTCTTGCTCTCAACCCTGTCTGACCCAGATGTTTCACAGAACAGGGGCGAGCATATCCAAATCTGGCCTTGTCTGGGAGTGGTAGTCATAACCGTACAAGGATGCGCACCCTGCCACCAGCACACGGCTGTATCTCTTGTGAACAACCCTTGTCAGCAGCAGCCGCGTGAAGCCGGGCCCAAGCTATCGCTATCTTGCAGCAATAGTACCAGCACGAAGAAGGATAAGAATAGTAATCGTAATGATCATGTAGGAGCCTTCATAGTTAGAATAGGGTTCCTCAATCTATAGCATATGGTAACCCAAAACCCTGTTCCAATTATTAAGTGTTTAAGGCTTCTGTATCAACTCACTGCCGCGCTCCTCAAGTAAATTGCTCGTCGCACTAGACTATCTCGTGCTCGGATTCACGCTTGAGAGAGCTTGCACACACTTGGCCCTACGCGTATCTTAGGTGGTCCAGAGCTCAGGCCTGTTGCTTCGGAATACCATATTCGCACATGAAATGCCAACCAGCCATGGGTTTCTTTCTCCCTCGCCTAGCTCGCTCTCCTTCTCCTTGTCGTCGGACTCTTCAACAATGTGAGTATGCAGGAAAGAAGCACTGAGTACATGGATGGCCAAACGAGAGGCATCAAAAGCTGATGCAAGGCAGATGATACATACATTAATCTGGTCAATGATTGCATTCATTTGTGGATCGCCTGTTAACGTCGATCACCCGTCCATGTCGTCGATTTAGCTATGCTTAGACGCAGTTCATGCGTGCGCGCCTGCATGCGTAGCCACAAAATGCCGTCTTGCTTTGGTGCGTTCCGGGTGCATATTTTCCTCCGGAGTCATCATGGACTCAGCAGTATGTCAACCTGCCACTCTTGCAGGAGTGTTGCATCTCGTCATCGGGCCACTCCACTCCACGCTAGGAAAGCTCCAGGAGCGGGATTTATGATTGCAGCTGAGGATGGCTGAGGGGTTTAAGCAAGGTTGTCCATACGCATTCTTGTCTGTACGAATTCAGCCAGAGACTTCCGGGTCGTTCAGTGCATGAGGACGATTGGGGGGCCTGCACGGTGGTAAATGAAGCCTTGGCATGGAAGCAAGATCGTGTACGAGAAGCTCACAGCGAGTTTGAACGCAAGTGCTGTGGCGTCTTGAAGACAAAAAGCACAAACATAGATAGGTATAAATCGGTATAAATACAAGTATAGGTGAAGAGTTGGACAAATAGTCACTCAGAGAGCCAACTACAGAAAGAATACATACATACATACATACATACATACATACAAATACAAATACAAATACAAATACAAATACAAATACAAATACAAATACAAATACAAATACAAATACATAGGTCTGTGTATACACATGATTGTATATATATATATAGAGAGAGAGAGAGAGATGTTATGTCTTCTCTTGCCGACCCCGCTCCACCGCTCACGATCCAAAGCTCCTTTTAAACGAATGGATCATGGAGGTGGGGGCAATTAGAGTTTGCGAAAGCATAGGCATGGCTCCCCCAAAACTCCTGAAGCCTGAAGTGCGAAAACATCGGCATCTCATCCAACTTCTCAACATCTGAGTGGCATGTTGATTCTAAGTTGCTTGTCTGGGAAATCTTACACTTTCTGTCTGCCGCTATTGTAGTTGCATTAGTCGTGCCTGCCTTGCGGTCCCCTCGGAAATACTTTCATAGTTCGTCGTGGCGTCGTGTCGTTCATGTCTACAAAATTGTAGCAGCGATGTCGATGCCATGCATGACCAGCCAGTGCTAGCATCTTGGGATTCTGTTCATGTTGAGTACAGGCCCTAAACCTACGACTGGCTGATTTGAAAATCTGGCCGAGCCCAACACCCTGGCCTAGTCCAAGAACGATTCAGGATGGTGTCAAGTCTGGCAACCCCCTGGCATCCATCCTCCAGGCTGCTTCTTGTTTGGGTCTTCGCAGTGTTCGCTCAGGGTTTCGGTTCTGGTCTTGAGCAAGCGCGCATGGGTTGACGCCCCCTGCAACTAGCGCTGTGCCCCTACAACAGCAGGCCCTGCACCCTATCGGGCAAAAGTGCGGTTTGGTATGAACCAGGCAGCGGGCCGAAGGGCGAAGGTTTTGCAAACTTATCCCAACTTCCGTGATATTTGCGACCTTGACGTGTTACTCGGCACCCTCGACTGTGCTAGACCTGCTTGTCCTGCTGCCTGGACTTCTACGAAGAGTCCCTCGCGCACCTAAACCGCGGTGCCCTGCTGGACGTGAGCCTGCAGGCCTTGTGGTTTGCCGGGGTGTGAGCATGGGATGCGGAGCGTTCATGCGTGTGGGGCTTTCCCGGAGGCCGGCTTTCTTGCATGCTGGAATCTCTGCAATGAGAAGATTTGACCGAGTTCCTGTGCAGGGCCTGGTTTTCCTGAGTTCCCCAAAACAAAAAGCAAGCAACAGCAGCGAGGACGAGGAGGAGGACAACGATTAATGGTTTAATCAGGCAGCAGCGATGTGTGAGTCGCAGCATTGGAAGCAGTGACAGTGGTAATTAGACAAGTATCAGCAACATTGTTGTAGTAGTAGTAGCGCTAGTAATTTTATAGGTGCAGCGACAGCACCACCACCACCAGCTGTAGTAGTAGTAGTAGTAGTAGTAGTAGTAGCAGTAGCAGTAGCAGCAGTGGTAGTGGAAGCAGCAGCAGCAGCAGGAGCAGTAAGCCGTGAGCAGGAGCAGTAGCAGCATGAGTAGTAGCCAACAGCAAACGAAGTAATGGTTGTCGTTCATTTGGAACGGAAAGAGACCATCATCCCTTGTCCGCTCTTGTCCGTGAGGCTTTCACGTACTTCGAAGGCGCCAACCATATTGCGGACAACGAGTCTGGCACCTCCCTCGCCGAAGAGGCAGGGCCAACTCCACATGTCCAAAAAGTAGCCCCACCCAGCCACCCTTGGCTCCTACTCTCCCGGGTGAACCCACAGACCCCCCAAGCTTGCCAAGCAGGTCGGCCTGCTCAACACATCCACTACTATGTTCCAGCTGGCGGGTGTGGGAATGGCATCTCGGTCCTCACGAGTCGCAAGGGATTGTGGTTCTGATGGGCATGATGACGGTGATACGATGTTTTTGTTCTGCGCGATGACGATTCTGATGCTGGGGGCGCGCTGATACTGGATGATGATAGGGGCGATGAGGAGATTTGAGGAGGAGGAGGAGGAGGAGCTGGAGGAGATGAAAGTGGAAGTGCTGAGTGATTGGAGCATGCTGCTGCCAAGAAAAGTCGACTTCAGCAAGGTACTGTGCCGTTAGCACGTCGTTTCGCCCAAACGACGCTGATGATTCCAGACGTTCGGCTAGGGCTAGGGTTCTCAGCATCATTGAGGTCCTTGTTTCGTAGTGTGTTGCTGATGGCGGCGGTTGAAGTGGCTTGGTTGTCTGGATCTAATTGAAAGGTTGCAAATGCGAGTAGTCATACAATGGTCAGCCTCCAACTAGCACTGCTTGGGATGCCTAAGCTCTTCCCTCTAATTAACTGGACCGCGCTTCACGGAGACAGATAACTGGACTAGACTCGACCGGATTTTGCAGTGCCAGCGTAATTAAAGGGCGTGTAGCATCATCGGGGTAGGGGAGTTCCCGTCAACAAGTCTGAACCGTGAAGCCTACAACCCCAGAGCGGCAAGAACCGAATAACACCATTCTCCGTGCCCAGAAAACCCTCTGCCCAAGACGCTAGAAGCGTTCAACCCCACAGCTGAAATGGGAGTTTTTTGACCGAGGCGGCCGCGACGACGTGGTTTGCCGTAGCACAAACTCTGCTCCTCGGCTGCAGAAATTCGGGCTGCAGGGTTTGGGTTGGAGTGCTGGAATCCCCTAAATCCTAAACCCTGTAAGATTGCTCGGCTACTAGGGGTCCCAGACTCTTCGGATCCTAACAACGGGGATCCTGCTCTTCGACACGAACCCTTCCGCCACCCCCGAAGGTAGAGAGAAGATACGGACATGACTTGCCAAGTACAGAAGTTGTGAAAGCACGTGGGTCATGAGCTTCCGCCAGGTCCCAGCGTCAGTTCGCCGACCCGGACAGCCGGCTATTTGTGGAAGACCGGTCCACACTGTGCATTGGCGGTGCTGTGATTTCGCTTGTTGTGGTACGGACCTCAGGACAGCAACAATTTGCTTCAAGCCCGAAATCGGCTGCGATTCACTTATTCCGGGTGTTGCTTTCGTTTGGGAGTCGTTAGGTTTCCGGCAGATGTTTCGTGTGGCCGGAATCATGTAGAAGTGGCTCAGGAAGAGCATGTCAAGTGTCCAGCCTGAACCAACAAGTGCTTCAGGCAACTCCCTTCATGACCATTTTTGATGTTGCCGCGCAGCTGCATTGAGCCCGGGTAGAGCCATGATCCCAGAATCCTTCCGCATATGGCTACAAAATCTCATTGCGGATTACACACTTTTGGACCGCCCGCCTCTGAACCCCGAGCCGCAGAGCATACCGAAACCGAGGTTGCGGAGGCCGTGCTCTTCAGCAAAGTCGTAGACCGGCAGCGCAACCCCAAAGCGAAAGGGCTGCCAGCCTCGTCCAGCATGATCTTGAGGACGTGCCTGGGCGGGCTTGGGGTTCGAGCGGAAAGTTTGCAGGCGGAACGATCAAGTCGAAGTGGCACGAGACTTCCAGCCCACAATATAAGGAACAGAAGTGCGCTGCTCTGAAGCATAGAAACCCACGGCTAGAAAGGAACTGCTCCCCGTGGCGGCGGACTCTGCAGGCCGGGGCCCGAATACCTTCGCTATAGTTACGACTGTGACGATGACTTTGACAGTCCTCTGACTATGACTGAAACCTAGTGTTACTAACAGGGTTTGACAGTTCTTGCCCGTGCATGTCACGTGTTGCATGGCAGTCTTGTAGGGTCCGCTTGCTTTGAGCCCTTGTCTCTTGATTATTGGCGAGGAATTTTTGGTGGGCCCAAGCACGCCCCAGAAGATCTGAGTAGTGGAGCTGAAGCTGATGAAGCCTTGCACTCGGGCGGCTTGCAGCCACTGTGGCCAAAATGTTGGCCATCTTGGTGTGACAGGATTTGGCGTGACACGTCGCCGCCATGAAAAGCGCTGCAAAGCCAGACGTGCTGCAGCTGCAGCCATGGTGCAGCCCGCGTTCTGCGAGCTGTTGCCGAGAGTGAATCTCCACAAAGATGTTCAAACGATGTCGGCCCAGGAGATGGGCGACATGCTGACCTTGACAGGAGCAGAGCTCAAGGCTCTGCTTCAGCAAGATGCACTCACCAGGCAGGAGGTGATGACGGCTGCGGTTGTAGCCTCGCGTCCTGGTGCCTGTGGGGGTGCGCCCCTCCGAGTGGCCATGGTGGTCGCACCCGGAGACAGCGCTGACACCATCCAGGTGCCAGGGAAGGGCTAAGCGGCTAACAGTGCACATCCGAAGCCAAAGAGCGAACTGCTAACTGTGCAAGTACTTGGTCTAGTACTTTCCATCTCTGATCGTGGTCGTTTGGGTGGTTGAGTTGGAATGCTTTTGAACATCGCCGGTGGCTTTCAGATGGTTTGCTGCACAATGTCCGGATATGTTTACACACCGCCGATATTGCTTTTCTTAGCAGCACCAAATAGCACCAACGATCTTTCCCGACGTCCTCCCTGTGCCATTGTTGAAAACGTGAGAGTTCTTGACATAAACGGAGTGTGAAAGATCCGTGAAACCGGGCTGTTGCTTTGCTGTGTTCAGTTTGAACAGGTTTGGACGATCTTGAAGCTCATCCGCAGAGGTGCAATCGGAGACACTTCGTTGGGGAGTGATGACTGCGGTTCTGAGCGTGGACTGCATTGATGACGGCTTTCTAAAGGAGAGGGCCTGGGGCGAGGGCGTAGCCATGATGAGTGGCTTTGACGCGGTTGAGGCGGAGCGCTGCAGAACATTGCCAACGTTCTGCAGCGCTCCGCCGCAACCGCGACATTGCAGCATGTAGCCCGTCGCCTCGCGGCACCTGGCGGCGGCTAAGTCGCCGAGCCATGTTTGCGTTCACCACCTAATTGGCAGGCTCTGCTGTTGCCTTGCTGTTGTTCTACATTGCACTCTCAACTTCAATAGGCCCGGTAAGCCTGAGCTGCACATTCGCCGAGATGGCAAAAAATCAACAGAGCCGCAGCAAGTGCCGTGGCAACCACCCTGCCTGGCTTCAAGCATGCTGCACGTTTGCCGAGATGGCAACAATTCAACTGGCTCGCGGGCCGTGCTACAGGAATGCTGCTGTTCATCCATGAACAGTAGGCGCGGCACGCGACATGTCGGGCCCAGTTTGGACCAAAGCATGCATTCTCCGTTTGCTGAGCGGACAGCCGAGACGATGCCTGCAAAGAGCATTGTGCTGGATGCATGCCTGCATGACGGCACGTCCCTCTGCACACATGTGTACACCTATGCGTGTGTATAATATGAACAGTAACATGTACATGTATATGAAGATGCAAACGTGTATGATCGCGTGTGCATGTGTTTGTTGCTTGTGCGAGTGCATGTCTACGAAAATGTCTATGTCGATGCCTATGCACTTATCTGTGTACGAGTGAACCGTACTGTTGTCAGCACGAGACGGCATGCATAAGTAGAATACGTCATTAGTATGCTGTTGTTGACGTGATTAGTAGTGGTAGTAGTGTTGAATGGAGAAGATCGGTTGAAGCATCCACCCACATGCATCTGCGAATGTTTTTTTGACCTCGGAGTATAAGGCATCCGTAAGCGCCCCAACAACTTCAGGAGTTCATGGGCGCTTTTTTTAGGGGCTCCCTGCCCTCTGAAGCTATCTGCAGCGGAGGACATCACGTCCTGCAACTGTGCCTACCGAACTGCTGCGGATCTCACCCAGAGCCAAAGCTCTGGGGCCTTTGGACTTCTGGACTGGGGATCTCAAACATTCCAAGCCGGACGCTCAGGGAGGGTGGCTGCTTCATTGCTATCATAATACCATATAGTACTATAGAATACTATAATATAATACTATACATTACTACATAATACTATATAATCGTCCGAGACAAGGTGATTACCATGTTCGGTCTTGAGGTCAGTAGAGGTCATGGATTGCATAGCTGCGCTCATACATGCTTCTGTACTTGCTGCAGACTTACCGAGGATTTCAGAAGGCGGGAAGTTTTTGGTGCATGATTCTACCGTCGTCGGCGAAGAGCTCCACACACTGAGGTGCAAGGAAGCCCGTCAATGCCAGCCTTTGCTGCATCTTCACCCTTCACAGGCCCTGTGTGACTTCCAGGCGCGACTTGCATCAGACTCGTGGGTATTCAGAAAGGGCATGATGCGCCAAGTCCGCGCGTGTCCGCTGCATTGCGAGGCTCACAGGCCTGGGTGAAGATGGAGTGGTGAGTCGACCAGGGATTTCTTGAACCTCGACTCTTCTGTAAAGCTTCCCTCAGGCTGCCTCGAAGAACTGCAATTGTAAATCCTGGGTCATATAACAAAATAGTATAATATCATACAATATAATATAATATAACCCTTGCTGACCTGACTTCGTTGCGGTTTGCTGCAGCAGACTCGACCATGCAGAAATCGATTTGTGCAACCATGGATCTGGATACACGATGTGCACCTGGAAACCTATGGTTTAGGGTTTAGGGTTTAGGGGTGATACAAGACTTTTTCTCCCAGCGGTTTCGAGCAAAGAAAGGGTAGGGGACGATCCAGATCTGTACTTGCCCAATCCTCTTTGCATGTATGTATGTGCTTTTCAAAAGCTAAACAAACGAGCCTAGAATGTCGTTCTGCCTTGCTTGTTGATCTCCCTGCCGTTTTCGTTACAACCCGAGTTTCCGGGAACAAGGTTAGATCTGTTAAGCTATGTTTCGATGAGTCTGGTGGCAACTTGTCATGCGGATCGGACATACGGTTAATTTGGAAGCAATTCTGGTTGCGAAAGCTTTCCTGCCATGATGGCTGGTGACGATGATGATGATGACGACGGTATTGATGGTATCGATAACCTGGGGTCAAACTCAGGGAAATCACGATGTGTTGGCCCGGAGAGTCGAGGTAATGGTGCTCACATGTGATTTTGCAGCCGGTTGGGCCGGTTGGGCTTTGCGCACTGCCTGTTCTGAGATACATGGCACGTCGGGCGATTGTGGTTGTTGTTGTGATGGCTTTTGTTGTTCTGGTTTTCGTAGTTGTTTCTGCAGTGGTGGTGGTTGTGGCTGTGGCTGTGGCCGTGGTTGTCGTTGCTGTTGTTATGATAGTTATTGTGGTTTGGGTTTGGTTCTTGTTATTGCTCTTGTTATTGTTCTCGTGATTGGTCTTGTCGTTGTTACTGTTATTGGTGTTGTTCTGTGTATTATTGTCGTTTTTCAGGCTCTTCTTGTCAAATAGCTGTTGTTATTGTTGTAATTGTGCTTGTGTTGCAGCTTGCATTTCGTCAACGACAGGCATACTGCTTACTACTGGCATTATTGTTCGTAGTCGCGTTTGTAGAGCCTGCAACAGCTGTGAGATTCATGGCTCCATCAACACGATGCAACATGTCTATCCGATCCACATATTCTCCTGTAGATCAAGCACTATATGGCCTTCTTACAAAGTGGAACGAGATTCAAGGGCCCTCGCGCAGAATGCATGTTGCCCTGGCCCGTCAAAGCACCAAAACGGCCGAAGAGGGGACAACGGCGCAGCGATCGTGTAACAAGGACGGGCTCGGCCTTCAGGGCTGCGAAATTCCAGCAGTGAAGAAGCTTACTTGGCTGACCTTTCAGTAGTTATCGCTGCTGCCCAAGCCTTGTCCTCAGCACGGATGTGCATTCTGGGCTTCGTCGAGTTCGAGGCTGGAATAGCATAGTCTCCAAATGGTGCCACGGTCCCAGGACTGCATATTGAAGAAGCTAAGCTAGCCTAGGCAGGTTGGCGTCAGAACCCTTGGCCACGGCCCACTCTGCATATGCTACTTGTAGCTCCATGGCTCAGTCTTGCATGACAAGAACAAGGCGAGCCCCGTCGACCTGGCGCGGTGGAGGGCCGAGTCCAACCAGGTGCAGAAGCCTGGAAGTGGGAGGAGGGGATTTAGCCTTGTGGACTTCAGGACTACTTCTGTAGGCTTGGCGTGTGTCCTGTTCTTATTTTGGGCTTTGGGTGGGAGTAGGGCTCAGTGCTTTAGTGTTGACTGATGTACATTTGGCTTCAAAGTTTCGGCTTCATGCACGCCGGGGCAATCCGAGCCTGTTTTGCTGGAATGTCAGCTGGGGCCTGAACGCAGCGAAACCCGGTCTTTCGTTCCTGTTGCTATGACGAATCTATCTCAGCCTGGCATGCTCACAGAAAACGCATCAACCAGGCTGTTCATCCTTGCCAGAATGGGGCCCAAGCACGCCCTAGCAGATTTGAGTAGTGCAGCTGAAGCCGATGAAGCCTTGCACTCGGGCGGCTTGCAGCCACTGTGGAAAGAATGTTGGCCTCCTGGGCGTGACAGGATTTGGCGTGACAAGTCGCCGCCATGAAAAGCGCTGCAAAGCCAGACGCGCTGCAGCTGCAGCCATGGTGCAGCCCGCTTTCTGCGAGCTGCTGCCACGAGTTGATTTTTCCAAAGATGTTCAAACGATGTCGGCCCAGGAGATGGGCGACATGCTGACCTTGACAGGAGCAGAGCTCAAGGCTCTGCTGGAGCAAGATGCAGTCACAAGGCAGGAGGTGTTGTCGGCTGCGTTTGTAGCCTGGCGTCCTGGTGCCTGTGGGGGTGCGCCCCTGAAAGTGGCAATGGTGGTCGGACCCGGAGACAGCGCTGACACCATCCAGGTGCCAGGGAAGGGCTAAGCGGCTAACAGTGCGCATCCGAAGCCAAAGAGCGAGCTGCTAACTGTGCAAGTACTTGGTGCACCTAGTACGATCGTGGTCGTTTGGGTGGTTGATTTGGAATGCTTTTGAACATCGCCGGTGGCTTTCAGATGGTTTGCTGCACATATATCCGGATGTGTTTACACACCGCCGATATTGCTTTTCTTAACAGCACCAAATAGCACCAACGATCTTTCCCGACGTCCTCCCTGTGCCATTGTTGAAAACGTGAGAGTTCGTGACATAAACGGAGTGTGAAAGATCCGTGAAACCGGGCTGTTGCTTTGCTGTGTTCAGTTTGAACATGTTTGAACAATCTTGAAGCTCATCCGCAGAGGTGCAAGCGGAGACACTTCGTTGGGGAGTGATGAATACGGTTCTGAGCGTGGATTGCCTTGATGACGGCTTTCTAAACAAGAGGGCCTGGGGCGAGGGCGTAGCCATGATGAGTGGCTTTGACGAGGTTGCGGCGGAGCGCTGCAGAACAATGCAGCATGTAGCCCGTCGCCTCGCGGCACCTGGCGGCGGCTAAGTCGCCGAGCCATGTTTGTGTTCACCACCTAATTGGCAGGTTCTGCTGTTGCCTTGCTGTTGTTCTACATTGCACTCTCAACTTCAATAGGCCCCGTGAGCCTGAGCTGCACATTCGCCGAGATGGCAAAAAATCAACAGAGCCGCAGCAAGTGCCATGGCGACCACCCTGCTTGGCTTCAAGCATGCTGCACGTTTGCCGAGATGGCAACAATTCAACTGGCTCGCGGGCCGTGCTACAGGAATGCCGCTGTTCATCCACGAACAGTAGGCGCGGCACGCGACATGTCGGGCCCAGTTTGAACCAAAGCATAGATTCTCCATTTGCTGAGCGGACAGCCGAGACGATGCCTGCAAAGAGCATTGTGCTGGATTCATGCCTGCATGACGGCACGTCCCTCTGCACACATGTGTACTCCTATGCATGTGTATAATATGAACATGTAACTGTATGTGCAGGTGCAAACGTGTATGATCGCGTGTGCATTTGTATGTTGCTTGTGCGAGTGCATGTCTACGAAAATGTCTATGTCGATGCCTGTGCACTTATCTGTGTACGAGTCAACCGTACAGTTGTCAGCACGAGACGGCATGCATAAGTAGAAGACATACATATCATGAAATAACGAAAATGGAACTGTACGCATGCTCGTTTTTCTGGCCTCACACATGTCAAGATCCTAGATGGTTTAATGATGGTGGTGCGGAACAAATGTGAACGAAGAACTCAACAACCCAATAAGCACCCGTTCATACAAGGGCAACCGATCACTCCATTTTTCCTAGCACCTACGCGCCAATATGATCAGCCATGCCAAAGAGAGGCCGTGCAAACGTGTCGGGGCCTGCAAAATCACGAGGACCTCGCATCCGAGGTATAATTACGGACCCCTGCATCTAGCAAACCTTAGTTGTGAAATCCCCGCGTTTATGTGGAGCCCGGAACCGGGCAAGACTGATCAGTAGTCTTACGGGCTTGATGAAGGGTATACTCCTAGGATGGGATACCGAAGCATTCGTTGCAAAGGCTATGTCATTGCAGTTGGAAGACATCAACATGAGCAAGCCATGGCGAATCCTATTTAGTTCATTTTAGTTCGGGCGGCAAGTAGAAGTTCTTTGGAGAACTTCACCGACCTCTCAGTCAGGAGCTCCCCGAATGATCGGATTAGGGCTTAGGGCATCCGGTCGGGCAACCTTGGGACAAGCAGGCATCGTCTGGAGGTTGAGTGATTCGTGTAGCTTGCCGTGGGGCTGAAGCCAGGCCGCACCCAAGCATCCTTGCAACGAATCACGCCGCCACTGAATCACGGGATATCATAGGTTCTACCTGCGCATCTACATGCCCAGATGTTCCATTCCAAGTCCCCCTGCTCGGCTGAGGCCTGGCTACTCCAGGTTGACAGCCACGCAGGCCGTAGCCGGATAGCTGTTTCGAAGTTCTGAGTTGAAGGTCTAAGGTTTGGGGATGCTTGGGGTTTAGGAGCAGCCGGAAGAAGCAGCATAGAGTTGGTCACACAGGTAATCTGCACCTGTCTAGGACTCCAAGAACCTGTGCAAGACACGCCCTTGCGCTGGCCCTCACATGCTCGTATCCTACAGCTCCAATGGACCTCGAAACAGTGACCTCCAGACCCCGCCGGGGAACCTGCAACGGCCGGCAAAAGTTCGCATACCACCCCCGAGGGATCTGACAGAACTACCGGTAGCATAATAAATTTAGTGCAATTAATTGAACATGAGATCCTGCGTGAACCGAGGCACAGGCTGTGGCCCAGACGCAGATCGCCTGAGTGCGGAGCTTGTAAGGCACATGGCCACAGTGAGGTTTCCACGTTTCAGGGGCTTCCGGGAGTGCAAGGACATGCAGGCCTGGGGGCTCTCCTTGTAGGCTTCTGGCTTTTGGAGTGTCCTAGTCTTGGAACTGAAAACTTTCGATGTGCGTCGTAAAAGCTAAAAGCTTCGTGGGCTCGTAAGAGGTTTGGGGTGACGGCATGGAAGCTTCCTGACGGCATGATATTCGCAGAAGCTTGAAGCAGCTGTGTGTTTCCCCTTGAAACTCCGGAAAACATGCATCATACATTATTTATTTATAGCCATTGCTCTTCGTGGCTCCAGTGTCCATACCTTGGATCTTATCTTCACGAAGACCGTAGCCAGACCTCAAATCATGTTTCAAGATGGTGGGACCTGGGTCTTGAAGGGAAAGCAGAAGTGCTTGAAAGAGTCCGCCACGCTGTCGGTGCCGCAAATTTCGAGTGGAAGCACCGCTTAGCCCAACAAAGGGAAACACCTCAAATCGGAAGTCCGTTGCACATAGTCCAGCGCACCAAAGGATGTAGAACTCGGACGTGTCCCCTCAACCAGCCGGAGGTTTACGAACGATGCGCACTTCACAGGCTTCCTGCTCAAGGAATCGCTTTTCATGCAGGTCGCTGCAGCCTAAGCACCGGAGGCTTCGAAAAGGTTCCACTTCTGTTGTTGCCAGGTCGTCTTTTGCAGCTCATGTCAGGCATCCTGAAGACAGATTCATTGCCCAATCTTGGAACTCTGCTGCCGAGAAGGGCCTGCGTGCAAGTCGGAGAAAGATGCTGGTAGTTATTGATGCGTTCTTTGGAAGTTGAAGGTTGCCGCGGCGTCCACGCACATAGCCAAGAAGAGTGATCTATGTTGACGGTAGACTTGCATATTGAATCTTAATATGAGATGCAGGGCACCAATAAGGATGCAGTGCGAATACACATGATTCCGGCGATGGGTACGACGATGATTTTGAGGTCCCGGAGCCTCATGGAAACATTCCTCGCCGGGCCGGGGACAGAGCTCTGCCCTCCTAGGGATTGATGCACTTGTGTGTGTGTGTGTGTTTAAAGTATGTACACGTTCGGGGTCTCTGGCAATATGTTTATGGTTTCTCGTAGCTTGATCGAAGGTCTGCCAGCGTCTAGAAGGCTATGTACAGGTTGAAGGCAACCTGCTCTTATCTTATATGCAGTGAGATCTTGGAAGTTGGCAAGGGGTAAATGGCTTTCGCGCGTCAAGTTCGTTCGGCCTCTCCATTTAGCGTTGGCTGCATGCATCGTATGCAAAGAGCCCTTGAACGCAAGCTCCTGTCCTCAAAACGACAACAAAACTATCTGCTTCATGTTCGTGACGAATTCTGTCACGATGTGTTAGTTATCATCGAGATTATGCATCAGTGCCATTATCATTCTGCGGTGGCAGTTGTTGCTCTTCTCTTTAAGGTACTCGTGTGAGGATTGACCCGAAGCCCTAGCCCAGGCGAGCATTCTGGAAGTCCGCTTCCGGAGTCAGAACACCCTGCGCTCACAGGGCCGGATGTGTTGAAGGGATGGAGGGGGCTCCGAGGGGTTTGGTCGATGCACTTGGATCGGAGGATCCGAGGAATGTGGGTATGTCACAACTCATCTGGTCAGTTGCATCTTGTGAATCTGAGCGCCGTGTTTTGGATGAAGTGCACCGGGGCTCTGCTTTGCCGCTCCTGGCGAGTCAGACACTTTGGCAGCCTAGGCCTCGTGCTCTCAATTCCCGAGAGTCGGCGTTAAACTGGGTCGTTCCCCGAACTCCAAACACCACACTACGTCGCCATGAGCATGTCTGCCCTTGAAGGCTCCGGGATCTTCGTCCGACTGGAAGCACCACTAGGTGCCGTCCCGGGCTGGTTCGGTCATGGGTCGTAAGGAGGAGGTGGAGGAGGATACGATCCACTCACATACTTGCTCGTATGCTCTGAGAGAGGTAGCAATTTCATTGCACATCTCGGCGAGTTTACGGGGCTTGGATAGGGAGTTGTATGATATTTGAGCCATCTGTGTCCTGCGTGGCTGAGTGCTCGAAGTGCATCTCGCAGAAAGTCCACCTCTTCGTCATCAAGTCATCGTCTTGCCCCCATAGTCACTGGTCACCATACTACTACTGCTGCCGCTGCTGCCGCTGTTGCTGCTACTGCTACTACCGCCAGTACTTCTGCTGCAACAACAGCAACTACTACTACCACTACGCGCAGGAGTAGAGGTTTGCCCACGGCATTTGGGCACTTGGAGTGGTGGCTTCAGGATTTCGGCTTTCGGGTTCAGGGTTTAGGGATCAACACTGTCTTCTCCACACTTTCACCCGCATCTTTTCGTATCAGCAGCATGAACCTCCTCACCAACATCATCCAGATCATCACCATGCCCAGGTCAAACCAAGGCAGTACCAACACGTCTTCCGTACATCATGATGAATGATGATGTTGCCGTACAAGATGATGATTGATGATGTTTCCCACGTCGTCCGTCGTCGTGGTCGTGTTGACGATGGAGATGGTGACAATGAACAAAACCCCCGAGAACTTGCAAACTCTGCAACTGTCTTCGATGTGCGAGCTGTTGCTTCTGTTACGACTTCCAGTCTTTCGGCATGGGGATCCAGTGCTGCAGTGACGCACCGGCATAAGGCAAGATTGGCTCAATGATTCTGTGCCCGGAAGTTCCTTCTGACTTTCGCACGTGGCCGTTGGCGGTGCAGCTGAACGTGCTGTCCTGTCTGTCGGTTGAGGAGCGCACACGTCTGCAGTGGTGTAGCCTCGTGCAGAACGAACCCACACTCACGAGGCCTTCGCATGGCATAGTACGCATATGTGACCCTTCCACGCTAAGCCGAGTATGACCCCAGCTCCAGGAATGTTGTCTTTGGAGATTATCTTTGGAGCTGTCAACATGGTCATACATAAGTCATGAAGACTTTCATGTAGGAATGCCCTGCACGTTCTTGCAAGGACTTGAGGGCTTCCTGCCGCCCCCCCGAGCTCCGTCGCCAGCACCCACTCAGCTCGACCCGGCTGAGGTGGACGTGCAGGAGCTCGGCGGTTTCTTAGACCCGGAAACACCGCCCAGAGCAGCACGTCGCCAGCATCCTGACTACACGCCACCGTGACCATGGGCAAAGGCGGCCTCAAGATCAAACCCAAGAGTCTTCTTGGGAAGCGCAAGAAGATCA